TTACTTACTTTACTTTACCGTTACCGTACGTACGTACGTTACTTAACTTTACTAACCTACTAACGTACGTAAGTACGTACGTACGTAGTACGTAGTAAGTAAGTAGAGAGAGAGAGAGAGAGAGAGAGAGAGAGAGAGAGAGAGAGAGAGATTGAACTCAGTATAAATGGTCTCAATTCTCAATGATCTTTGATAAATCTGATATTGTTGACTTTTAACTGTTCACCTGCCACTGTTCTGGTTCATCACCATTAGTTTGGATCTGGGAGACAGAGAGACATCCAATTGAGTAGGGATTGAATTCAGTGAAATGGCTTGAATTCTCATCTATATCTTTGACAAAATCTAATCTTCTTGACTTTTAACTGTTCACTTAGTTTCTATTTGGGTTCTCATTCTTGGGTTCTCATCCTTCAATGTTTTGGTTGGAAAGATACAAAATTTGAGAACTTAAAACTCAGAGATATCTCTGTTTTCACATTGCAGGAACAGAGCAGCCGAGAACCTCTATGGATGGATGGACTGCGAAGCCATCGGGCAGAGGGCCACGGAGCTTCTCATCGATGAGAGGCACTACGGATATGTAGAGAGGATCATGGAGAGGTTGAGCATGGGCCACTCATGGTCAGGTCAGTTCCCCTTTAAGAAAAGGTCTGGTGAGGTGTTTACTGCCATAGTAACCGAAACTCCATTATATGAAGATGGTGAGATCACTGGTGTTATCACTGTTTCCACCGATGCTGCCCCTTTTAATAGCTTAAACCCACAAAATTTAGGCCCAAATAACCAGAGCAGGGAACAAGTTGACCGTGTCCCTAGAATTCGCGGGCTAAGCAAGGCAAAGATTCAATGGCACCCATCCCCTCAGATTGCTTCTTCTGTTTCAAATCTGGTGCATATGCGCTACATCAAGAGTTGCTTATTTTCTTTGTTTAATTTATACATCTCTTAGAGCTAATTTTATGTGAGTTTTGTTGGATGTGTTTTTGGGTGGAACTTTGACAGGCATAATTGACTTTCTTGTATTCTTTTTTAATAGGCATCGAAGGTGTTGTCACGCTTACGTGCGGGGGATGCTAATGATTCAGATTGCAGCAGTGAAAGTGGCCATGAGTCGATGCCAGACACTGAACATCGAGAAAGCAGAGGGTCTGATGGACTGGTAAGCGGTTCACTCGAATATTGTTTTGTGGTTTTCCTTAATATGGATATTGTTCTTTGTTTAGGACCCCATTTTGTGGATATAACTTATTTAGAAGAAGGTTTGGGAGTGATTTTCTCTAGAGGAGAGAGTGTCGATGGGACCTTTTGTGTTTTACTCCTTCATCCCCTCTTGCAAGATTTCTAAATTTTGGGACTAATAAAGCTTCATCTATCTTTTACCCATTTTTGCCAATTAGACGCGTTTTACTTATTTATATTAGTGGAAGAATTTTAACGCTAATAAAATGTTGTTGTTATGGGATCGAGAAATCAATTACCTGTTTGGATTGCAGGTTGGGAACAGTAGTGGCAGCGCAAACAACAATCAGCAGAATGAGGAGGATGGAAATGATTCTTCTCAACCTTTAAAAATTGTAATATCCTGTTAGCCCCTTATAAATTGGCAAAACATTCATATTCAAAAAAAAAAAAGAAAAAAAAAAAAGGCAAAACGTTATGATATATGCCTTGTACCAAAAGACAGAATACCAATTCAATCACAACTAGATCATTAGGAGAAAATCAGCTAAAGTCATGAAAAGGAAGTTGAAATTATGAAGTTCAAATGCACAAGACATATTTTACAAATTAATCATAACTGTTTTCCTCTCATATTCTTCAAAAGAACTGAAGAGGGGCATTAGTCATAATTGGTCAGAGGTATATTGGTAATTTTATGTATTGATTTTTCTTGTATTTGTAGTTCATGTTTATTGTATATGTAAATTCTGAATTTATTTGTACCTTTATCTAACCCTTTATTAATTAGAGTTAGAAACAATATAAATATAGAGCTTTGAGTGCAGCCCTCAGTTATGAATGAATTAGGGGTGATGTCACCCTTCTTTGGCTTGGCTTCCTCTCCATTCATCTCTACTTGTACCCCGACTTGTTTTTCTCTCTTTAAGTATTCAAGTTGATTTTTTAACATAGTAGAATTAATTCACCGGGTTAATTCTTTATCCTTGATAAACCCATCAACATATTCAGCGTTGAGGGTTACAATTTTCTCTCTCATTCCTTCTGTACTCGCCTTCGTCTCTGTTTGATGAATTATGGTGGTGCCATGCATGATCCATCATTGTCACTCATCAATCGCAGGCTTCTAATGAAAGGAATCACGACTTCTTTCCATACAATGAAATTGGAAGAAGATAGTTTGATGGTAACTTTTGGGGAAGGAATATTGGGGAGACTAGAAGATTCCATGGGATCAAATGAGTGGAAGATAATAGGCATAATTTTATTTTTATTTTTTGAAAAGTAATTTATTGTTCAAACGTGAACTGGGGTTTACTGTTCACATGAATACTGATTAGATTTTCCTGTTCACATGAACAGTATTTGGATTTACTGTTCATGAGAACAGTAACTAGGGGTTTCTGTTCACGTCAAATGAATGTAAGAGATTTAGGGTAAAGAAGAGATTTAGACAGAAAAAGAGATTTAGGGTCAAGAAAGATCTAGAAATTGAAGTTAACGGGAGATATCTAGGGCTTCATGTCAATATTGACGATAACGTGATTAATCTAAATAGATTAACAAAGAAAAGAGATAAACACAAGCATGACACTGAACCATTCTTCATAAGTTGGCATCAGATGGAGAAATTTGTTGAAGATGTTGAGAAAGGTGGAGATAACGGAGACATTGTTCCTTGCAATACAAGAGAAGTCTTTCTCCTATATTTTGAGGATAACCAGCAAACAGGCTAAAGTAGGGGCTCAACACAAAATGGTCCATGTGAAGTCAATGCCAAAAGAAGAGTTAAGATGGGGCAATAAGCGAGCATATCCGAAAGACCAGTAAATGAACACACAGACCACCCAATGGAGCATCTGAATCAGACCATGTTAAGCACTCCAGTTGATGCAGATGTTAAGGCCACTTTATTAAGGATATCGACTCACATTTGATATCCTATTGAACTATAGGTGAGCTATGAAGGTTTCACTCATGAATATCAAGTGTTCTCGAGTGAGATCTTTAAGATCAGAGAGCCACAACGTACTTATTGGCAGTAAAGGATAAGAGGTGGATTGAAGCTATGCAAGAAGAAATCTAGGCCATGAATGTGAATACTACATAGGAGACTGTTAAATGACCAGAAGATTAAAATGTGATAGTTTGCAAATGGTTATATAAGGGAGTATTGAGATTTGAGGCAAGGTTGGATGCTAAAGGATTTAGTCAACAAGGTTGACTCGATTATGAGGAAAGCTCCGGTCCCGTTGCTTAGTTGTGATAGTAGGCAATATTTTATCGCATTAGCCTTGGCCTATGATTGGCCACTCTACCAGTTGGATGTAAAGTATACATTTCCTCATGGGGAGTTAAGAGAGGAGGTTTACATGGAGCAACCTGATGCAAGACAAAATCATTTGTGTTTTAAAATTTTAATTCTTATACTATTCACGAGTTTTGTTTAATTTATTTTATACTATTCATGAGTTGCTATTTATGAGTATTGTTTACAAGTTCCTGTTTATAGGGGTATTTTTGGAATTTTAAAAATAAACCTTATGGAACATTTTATTTGTAAGTTTGGGTGTGAAGAAGAAACTTTACGTTTCTTTGAAATTGTGCTTGTCTTTGGTATGTTTCCTTGCTGATTTTACTGTTCTCTTCAATTTTCCTACCTCAATTTGGTATCATAGCTCAGGTTTTCTTCAACAACGAGGCCAAGAAGTTACATCCAAAATAGGTTTTGTTATTTTGGGCCAAGTTTTGCCAAAAGCCTAGATCTTGCTAATTTCATGAAGGTTTTGTTGATTTTGGTGAACATATGGCAGCAATAAGGGGGCTATGGAAGGGGGGTTCACAAACCCATTTGTGATCCCAACGATGAAGAAAGTGAGGACCTTAAACGGCACAATCAGCACCTGACATAGCAGTTTGCGAGTATCTGTCATTGGTAAGACGGTAATTTTTCAGCCAATGAAGTTCTCGAATACAACCCTTTTCACCTTCCCACTCCATGTGTGGGATCGAGTCATGAGGACAACACAAAAGTCCTAGATGTGAGGCCTGGATGTGGGAGGCACCACTCTAAGGTTTTCGACATGAAGGTTGATATCCCTGATATTGTTGCTGGTTGTATCCAAAACCATCAAGTCGTAGAACGGGATTTGCAGCCAATCTTTGATACATGCTTAGATGAACAACAAGATCTCTTAGGAGATCCGATCTATGATAAGGATGAGATGAAGAATATGTTTCCAAAGAGGACCATGGCTCTTTGAAGATCTTAAGGATATTGAAGAGGTAGAACATTCAAGAGATTTAGGGCATTGGTAGTGAGAGGAAATGTGGTTGACTCATAAACTGCGAATTGTGGCCTTGGTTTTAGACAGGAATGAAATAGATACCCAAAAAGCCTCTAAAGGCCTGAAAATTGAGTTTGAAATTTCCTACGCAATTTTCAATAAGAGTTTAGGGATAGCTGAATTTGATAAAGTCTTAATTATGGACGACTTCATAGGGCACTTATAAGATGAGGTACGTGGTGTATGTTCGTAAGCAACAGTTTCGATCGATGAGACATGAAGTGGCGTTAACACAAAGAACTTTGGAGGAATGCTCTAAAATCTGAAAGTCTTAAAATTAGCCGGCCTAGGACAGAGTATATGAAATGCAAGTTTAGTAATAATAAGAGTAGAGACGAGGAATAGTTGAGATTGATGGTCAAGATATACAAAAAAAAACGTACTTTCAATATCTTGAGTCAATAATCCAAAAAATGGAGGGATTGAGGAAGATGTTGCACATAGAAATAGAGCTGGGTGGGCAAAGTGGAGATGTGCAATCGGATATGTACTCGCCTCATATCAATGAAGTTAAATGGGAAATTCTATAGGACAATTGTGAGACTAGCTTGCTTTATGGGGAGGAATTTTGGATGGTTAAGAAACAATTTACCTATAGGATGAATATAGTTGAGATGGATGAGTGACATGAAAAGAAAGGATAGAAATGAAAATAAATACATTCGGGAGACCTTAGGTGTGGCTCCAATAGGCCCTAAGATGAGAGAAAGTAGACTTCGGTGGGCTAGTCATGTGTAGCACATATCTAGTACAACACCTGTTATGAGGTGCGAATTGGTTCAAGTAGAAGGTTTGTTGCCAGGAGAAGACTCCTTGGTCGGAGAAAACTCCTCGATTGGAAGGCTCCAATTCAAGACTGTCGACTACTCCCGTTAAGAAAAACTTAGTTAAACTCAGATAGAACTCCATGGCCTCTTGGCTCGAAAGACCATTTTCCGAGCGTGAAAGCTTGTTTGCCCTTATCTCAGTTAGACTCAGACAGAGCTTCAGGGCCCAACGATACCCCATTGCCCTATTCAAACAATATTGGGAAGTCGTCAGACATGATTTCCTAGCCGTGTTTGAAGAATTCTTTTCTAAGGGAGTTATCCATTGAGCCCGGAACGCCACTTTTATAACCCTCATTCTCAAGGTTGAAGGAGCAACGCACCTCAAAGACTTCTGACCTATTAGTCTGGTCAATTCTACTTATAAAGTCTTAGCCAAGGTTTTAGTCTCCCAACTGAAAGAAGTCCTATCCCTGGTAATCTCTCCCCCTCAAAGTGCATTCATTAAAGATCGTCAAATCCTTGGTGGTGCTTTGGTGGCTCATGAATGCATTCACTCTAGACACCTAAGTAGGGAACTCGAAATTTTCGTGAAGCTTGACTGGGAGAAAGCTTACGATCACATGGATTGGGTCATCCTTGAGGAAACCCAATCTAGAATGGGATTCGATTCGAGATGGAGATTCTGGATGAAGCCCTGCTACTCTCATCCACACTTCTCCATTCTCATCAATGGTTCCCCTAAGGGATTCTTTCCATCTACCAGGGGCCTTGTCAAGGAGACCCCCTCTCCCCCTTTCTCTTTGCAATCTCAACCAAAGTTTTCAGTCAATCTATCTCAATAATGTATTCGGCTGGCCTCTTACATGAGTTCAAAGTTGGTCACCAAGGGTCGACAGTCTCTCATCTCCAATATGCGGACGATACCCTGGTTTTTTGCAATGCTGATTCAGAAGATGCGTGAAATCTCTTCTTGTTTCTTAGATGTTTCGAGTTTGTGACAAGATTCAAGGTTAATTTTGACAGAACCAAAATGATGGGGATTAATGTCGATCAGGATGTTGTAGGGTATTTTTCGACACTTGTATCCCCAGTGTGAATAAAGAAGATGCTAGTTGCGACCTAGGCCTGTGGGTACCAAAACATCAATGGACTACGGAAGCACTGATAGAATAAACCCTGAACTGGAGTGAATTTTGAAGGGTGTCGGATTGGTTCCAAAAGGCATGTAGGGGTGGCATTCGACTTCCTAAGAACACCTGTCAAGTTTTGTTGCGATTT